ATCTGAAAAGAACATAAAACATACTTCTGAAGAAAAGTGATAAAACCTACTATTAAAGGATCTTTGCCACTGAAGCTATGTCACTCTAACAGGTTTCGTTCTCTCTCTACCGAATTTGGTTCACATTTATATTCATCTGCCCTCCATTAAGTACAAAGACAACATAACTCTCAAAAATCTGGCAAAATCGAAAATCCCTCAATCTCTCGATCCATCGTTTTATCTTCTGGATCTTCCATCGTTCCCCACTAACGACCTACAAAATAGTAGCCACAAGTCTATGACAGACTAGTATCAATATTTTGTACTTCTGTAGATCTCGTCGAATTATCACTTTCACTTTTTTGTCGCAGGTTTCAACACTGTAGAAAGAATACAGGTAAGGGCAGGTAAAAAAGTACGGACCCAAACCTTTTTTTTTTTGTAACACTGACTTCAATTAAAATACGTGAGGCCTCAGGCCCAGTTCAGCCCATGAAAGGGTCCAAATACAAAGAAGTAGAAAGAGATTGTTTTGCCAACGTATCGGCATCCACATTCAGCGATCTAGAAAAATAGGAGAACGAAACAGCAACAAAAACAGAGGAGATTCGCTTGATATCATTGACGATACTGAGGATTTCGTTTATCTGCTTGTTGCACGTGATAGCTCGGATGAGCGTTGTATTGTCAGAGAAACATTGGAGCTTCTGGAGCCCTAAGTCCACTGCAGAGGAGAGAGCTGATCTGAGAGCGATAGCTTCGGCAGTCAGGGGGGATATGATGAGATTCTTGTAGGTAGCGCCTTGATTGATGCGAGCTCCCGCTGAATCTGTGAAGATCCAGGCCACTCCCGCTCGTTTTGATGTTTTGTCCCAAGCCGCGTCCGTTCTACAAGTCACAACCGTGGGGTCATCCAACCTCGGATTGAAATGAATTCTTTGTTGAGGTAGTTGGCTGCCTATCTGTTTGGTTGGTCTTTGTGCTGTGACCCACTCCCGTGCTAATCTTAGTCCTTTTGTTGCGGTCTCTGTAGGTGAGAGAAAGCTTTTCTCAAAGAGCAACAGGTTCCGCGCATTCCACAAAGCCCAACAAATCCAGGGGAGAATTGTGCTTGTGATTCCTGTTGGTGGGAGACAAACTGCCTGATTAAAGATGACTACAGCTTCCTTGAAGGTGGCTTCTGTAGCTAGGTGAACTACGTATTTTAGTGGGATACGGTTCCAGACCTCTTGTGCATAGGGACACCAGAAGAACGTATGCATAGCAGTCTCCACTCCCTTGCATCTCTTACACAGTGTTCCTTCTATCATCCCTCGTAGCTGGAGATTTTCCCCTAGAGGTAAAGCTCTCTGAATCACAGACCAAAGAAAGAGCTTCATTTTTGGTGAGCACGCTTCTGACCACACATGTTTAATCCAACTAAACACTCCTGGTGCAGGTGTAGGAGGATTGTTAGACAGTTGCATAGTCGCTGAGAAATACCCTGAGCGCGTAGTGTGTTCTCCTGATACTGAAGGTTGCCACACATATACATCCTCTGCTTTATTAATGCTTGGCTGAATTAATTGAATCTCCTTCGCCAAGTTAGGTAGGATAGCTTCTAACTTTTCTTTATTCCATTGCATATCCGTCGTGAGTAAATCCGAGACAGTAAGATCCATCAATGCTTCGGGGATAGGACCATACGGTTTCAAATTTTCCGATAGTGAAATCCAGGAATCTTTCCACACTTTAGTAGTCTCGCCATTGCCTATAGCCTTTCCTAGATGCCCTTTTAATAGGTCCCTTCCAAGGAGAATACTCCTGCAACCATGAGAGCATACTTTTGGTACTTGTACTTCAAGGAAATGTTTCCCATGACATTATTTTCCTACTAGTACCCGCGCCAATAGACTGTTCGGTTTTGTTAGGATTCTCCACGCCTGCTTAGCTAGGAGAGCTTGATTAAAGGTCTGAATATCTCTGATTCCTAATCCTCCTCCTGCTTTAGGTTTAGTGATTCTGTCCCAGGCAACCCATGCCATCTTTCTGTTCCCATTAGGATTGTCCCACCAGAATCTCGTCAACACTAACTGGATACGTTTACATAAACTCACAGGGAGTTCGAAACAGGACATGGAGAACGTTGGTATCGAAGTTAGCACAGACTTTAGCATCGTGAGCTTTCCTGCTTTGGACAGGAATCTTGACGACCAGCTGGAAGCACATTGTCGGATACGATCTACAATTGCCGTGAACAAATCTTTCTTCCGTCTTCTAAAGTGTTCAGGTAGTCCTAAGTATATACCTGAACCTCCTTCCTTTGAAATTCCCAACAGATTTTTGACATTCTCTCTGATTTCTGTTGATGTTTTGGATGAAAAGGTGATCGCCGATTTATCAGTGTTGATTTTTTGTCCCGAAGCCTGTTCATAATCCCACAAAATTTCTTTGAGTTTGTTGCAGCACAAGGGGGATGTCTGGCAGAAGAACATGGTATCATCTGCANTGAACCTCCTTCCTTTGAAATTCCCAACAGATTTTTGACATTCTCTCTGATTTCTGTTGATGTTTTGGATGAAAAGGTGATCGCCGATTTATCAGTGTTGATTTTTTGTCCCGAAGCCTGTTCATAATCCCACAAAATTTCTTTGAGTTTGTTGCAGCACAAGGGGGATGTCTGGCAGAAGAACATGGTATCATCTGCATAAAGCAGATGATTTACCCGTGGACTTCCCCTAGCGACTCGAATTCCTTGCAAGGTACCTTCCCTCTCCGCTTTTTGGCACAAGCCAGATAAAACTTGTCCACAAAGAATAAAAAGATAGGGGGAGAGTGGGTCTCCCTGTCTTATTCCCCGTTAACGCGTAACCGAACCCTGGACCGAGTCATTAATCAAGTAGGAGTAGGTCACTGTAGTCACACATTGCATGATCAGATTTACCCATTTCTCACCGAAACCTAGTCTCTGAAGCACCTGTGAAATAAAACTCCACTCCATTCGATCATACGCTTTAGACATATCAGTTTTAACTGCCATAGTACACTTCTTTTGGGCTTGAGAGGTCTTGAGAAATTGTAGAACCTCGTGGGTGATTAGGATGTTGTCTGAAATAGCTCTACCCGGTATAAAAGCGGACTGGTTCTCCGAAATAATAGAATGTAGGGTTGACTTCAGTCTGAGGGCCAGTAGCTTAGAAATTATCTTGAAAAAGACATTACATAGCGCAATATGACGATAATCTGCTACTCGTTTGGCTCCTACAATCTTAGGAATCAATCTAACGTGGGTCACATTTTGCGAGGGCCTGAGGATTCCTGTGCTGAAGAAGATCTTGATCTCATTGATCACATCTGGTCCCACCACGTCCCAGTTAGCTTGGAAGAAACTAGCTGAGAAGCCATCCGGGCCTGGAGCTTTGTCCGGGTGAATGGCAAAGGTAGCTTCTTTAATCTCTTGAGCCAATGGTTCTCTAGTCAGTTCTTCATTCATTTCTAGTGTGACACACTGTTGGAGTGCTTTCTCCACTGTTTGAGTTCCATCATGATGAACCGATGTAAAGATGTTATCGAAATATTTGCATATGACATTTGCAATTTTTTCCTCCTCAAACACGGCACCCCACTGTCATCTTCAATCACTGTCATCCTGTTTTTTGACTTCCTCACTTTTGTGGTTGCATGGAAATACCCAGTGTTTGAATCACCCAAAGTTAACCAGAGTTGTCTGCTTCTTTGTTTCCAATATTCTTCTTCTTCTTTGTAGGCTTTAAGGAGGCACACGTTCAGCTCATGAATCAGATCATCGTCCGGGATGGGGTTCGACATTGCAGCCTCCAGCCGTGCTTTGAGTGAGTCCATCACTTTCCTGCTGTTCTCCTGGAACTCCTTGCTCCACTTACAAATAGCTTTTCGGCAGCAGGAGAGCTTTCTTTCCACATCCAAATGGGGAGCCGCATCCCATGTCTCTTGTACAAGTTTCCTAACTTCCGGATTGTCTTTAAGTCTCCTGTCAAACCTGAAAATCTTAGCTCCCTTTTTCCTCCTTGTGTCTAGGAAAGTGAGCAGTGGGCGATGATCGGATCCCTCGTACTTAAGATACTGACATCTACAGGACGGAAAGGTGTCAAACCACTCACTGTTACTGATGGTCCTGTCGAGTCTACACTGAACAAGGTGGGAGTTACGTTTCCCTCTCCACGAGAGGTAATTTCCATAGTGTTTGATGTCGAATAGCCCATTACTTGACAAGAAAGATCTGAAAGCACAGAATGTCCCCTCAGCTCTTTCAGGTCCTCCTTTCTTCTCACTATTCTCTGTAAGCTCATTGAAATCCCCTGTTAACATCCATGGGATACCGGGGATTGGTTGAAGTGCTGATAGCTCGTTCCAGATCACGAGTTTTTTTGTATGGTCTGGCTCACCATATACAAAGGTAATCTGATAGGATATTCCTTTATCAGATATTACCGTATCAATGTAGTTCTTTGTACTGGATCTGACAACCAACTGGATTTCTTTTTTCCAGATGAGGAAAATTCCTCCACCACCTGGACTCAGAGGGGGAACTGCATGGTAATGATCAATCGGTATCCATTTAAGGGTCTCCAGGACCATATCAGTGTCATTTTTGGTCTCCATGAGGAAGAAGATATCCGGGGAGTTCCGTCGATGGATCTCCTTCAGACGCTGGACTGTTATGGGGTTCCCCAGCCCACAACAGTTCCAGCTCAATGCGACTAAGGAGCCGGGGGTGGAAGAGACCGAAAATCCTGACTCTTCCTTGCTTTGGTTGGGGTACCTCTCTCCAAAGGGCTACCCACATGGCGTGAGGCCTCTGTGGTCTCCTCAGTTTCTCTGACTACGGACTGGTTGGAGTAGGAGGTTTGACCTCGCCTTGCTCTTCTTCTTATCGCTGGGATCATTTGAATGGCCGGGTTGTTTGAGATTGGAGGCTCAGTAGATCCAGTCTTTGCTTTTTTCTTTGCATAATTAGACGTCTTTGATCTTTCTGGAGAGCTTTCAGTCAGCTGTCGGTTTCAATTCCCTGGTGAGCAGTTAAGTTGTGAGATGTTTCTCTTCTTCGAGCTAGCGCCTCTAAGAATGTTTGGCGTCAGTCTAGGCGATCTAGGTGTTCGAGCTGTGTTTCTCGGCTTATACTTCTTTTTGTTTTGTGGTCCTAGGGGAGGCTCCTCTCCCATTGCAGCTTCCTCTGCTTCTATTGATGCCTGAATTTCATACCCCCTGTCCAAAATAGGACTAACAATTATAGAGCTGAGTCTTGCAGGTCCATTCCCTCCCGCCAAGGAGTTTGTTTGGTTTCTTTGTATCGGGGCCTCACTACTACAGGGAGCCAAGTCTAACTCCTCTCTTCCTCTCATTGTTGGTGAATGCTCCGCAAATCTCTCAGGAGAAAGGGGTGTAGGAAGAGGGTTAAACTGTAGAGGGGGTGGGGTGACTGGATTACTATCTGCAGTTAATGCACGACGAGCTAGGTTCTGTTTCTCCCTTGCTGCTTTAATGATACCTGCAGCCGCGTCCTCCATTTCGCCGTTGGCATCTCCATGGAGGACACGCTGGCGTCTTGCCGCTGCTTCCACCGGGTCAGGATAGTTCAGGTATCTCCTTGTAGCATTGTGTAACTCTTCCATAACCTCCTCCATAGTAGGGATTGGAGAGTTTCCTTGTCTTACTCCTGAGGTTTCACGTGGATTCTCTTCCTGGAGTATGTTCATCTGACGGTCAGAAGCTGGAGTGGGAGTTGTTTCTATTCCTCTGGTGGGCTTAGGTCTCCATTGGCCTAGACTCTTTGTTGGAAAAAGGTCTTTGCTGCGTTGGGTCGCCCTACTGGTACGTTCTCTATCCTTTGAGTAAGGAGGAGAAGCGTATTCTTCATTCTTGTCCTGAGTCGCCTTTTCTTTCCAGGTTTGTTTGGGAACGCTCGAGGATTGCAGCTCTCTTTGAGGTGGTGGGTTGCGAGTCAATTTAGTGCTCACCCTTTCCCCAAAAGTATTCCCATGCCTGTCTACTCTTGTTTGGAAGAGTTGATAGGAAGGTTTTGGAACTTCGTCCCCTTTGTTCCGGCTCTAATACTGGGTGTCCGTCCTTTTAGTAGGAGGGCAATCAATAGGATACTCTGGCCGAGTTCCAGAGTTCGCTCCTTTGCCAGATGCGTAAGCGTATCTCTGTGTCGAAACCTCTGTATTTGTGGACTTAAAATGCTCCTCCTTAATTGTTTCATTTAGTAGTCTCGTGGGGCAATGTTTCCTGTGGTGAAGCAGGGAGTAACAGGTGGAGCAATGTCCTTCAAGCCTCTCATATTCCAGTGAGATGAGGCTCGCTTCTCCAGAGTCAAACTCAACCACCGATTCCATGATTAGAGGTTTTAGGCCATCCACGAGTACTCTGACCCTTGCTGTTGTTCTTGTGAGCTCATGGTTCTCCAAAAGACCCAGTTATTGCCCAACACGCACAACCATATCGTCATGCCAGTAGTGGAGGGGGAGGCCCTTGATTCGGACCCAAAACGAGATTAGTGAAGGGAAAGTGTTGGAGATAACCGGCTCCCACCTTTGGATTATTACCATCCAGTAAGCATGATGGTAAGGTCTGTTGTCAAGAACCCTTCTCAAGTCCTCTTCTCTTTCAAATCGGAACTGAAAGCAGTTATTACCTAGGTCAGACCTCACTGCTCTACGCTGCTGGCCCCATTTCGTGGGAGAGCTGGGATGAGCACCCACATCTTCTGCTCCAGCGGATTGGTAATTCCAATCAGGGTGAACTCGTTCGCCTTGATGAGAGCCGTGCAATCGAGGCTAGGAGCCTTGATCCTCTTGATACCTCCGACGTTATCATCTTTCAGCTGATGTTTTCCCTTCTCCGCCTCAGTAAATCTAAGAGCCATGATTACTTTGGTTGCTGGAGGAGTATCAAGTCGACTCCGAGCAAGTGAACCAGTACACTAGGAAGCTGGAAGCTGGAGGGAAGAAGAGAAATCTTGAATGCTGGTGTGGTTGTTCCAGAGATCGTGTGAAGAGCGGAAGATTATTGCAAACTGGTACTAGATCTGATGAGAAGTTGTTGTGAATCTTAGCACTTGCATTGACACTACTTGCTGGAGGATGCTTCTTTTGGCTAAAGAGTAGGGCTTCCAAAAGGGTTTTGTGAAGAGTCTAACGGATGCTTTCCTTACTTGGAAAGGAAGTGTGTAGTCACTTTCCAAGTATTATCCACCGGTCATCTGAAGTCACCCCTCCTTGAAACTTTCTTTTTTGTTTTGGGTATTTTCTTTGTTTCCTCACCAAAGTGGTATATTGGCCCATTTAACTCATATTTATATACGTTATTATCTTCGTTTCATATATTTTTAATTTTAAATCATCATCAACAAAATATATACTCCGAAAACGAGATGTCTATAGCACATCCATTATTCTGTGATGACTAATTAAGTGATCATTTATCCACATAAGCTTAACGATTGAAATTTGAAAACCTCTCATTATAAATGTCATACCAATCATAATTATCAGCAAAATAACCCCGTTTGGCTCTAGATATCTCACATCCAAATATCATATCTGATCGGGGGTTCCTAACTAATTAGGCTTTGGACAAAAAAACAGATATAGTGTATTTCTAGTTTAGGAAAAACATATTGTATTTTTAAAACTAGTCCGTAAACATAATAACTACCTTACTAAGTAGCTAAGTAATGTTTTTTAATCATATACTTAACAGTGAGACTGCGAAAATGTATGCGAAAGCTTGTAAACACATAAACCATCCATCAAACTGTCCCTATGGAAAACTCATATAAGCAATAACAATCGCGACTATGTCATATAGATTAGCTCTTGTGTTTCCAAATAGATTAATACTAAGAACTATAGGAATTGTTACCCATTAGCATAAAAATATAAGAATTGTCAAAAAACACCATAAAATGTTGGTAAGAATTGTGCTTAGAGCCAACAACAGGAAAAAAAAATTGCAAATCACTAATCAAATTTCATCAAAGAAAAAGCAGGAAACAAAAGGAAAGTGCTACTCAAATCAACATGGAAAGATTTAAGAACTAAAACGAGCCAACAAAGAAAAGAGGAAAAAAACCTGATTCATCTTATGAATGTTGAATCAAATAAGCTGGATCAAATCCTTATTCACCATATCATCCTCGACTAAGTTAATAGTCTTATTTGTTCATATAAGCTCGTTAGCTAGCCATAAATATACATATAACTAGCTATGATGATGAGTAATATGAAATATGATCAATACGGTGGTCGTCCCGTTGACCAATAAGCTTGATTATCATGCTGTGGTAATCCTTGATGAGAGGGACCAAGAAGATTAGGTGGCAACCCTTGATGAGCCGACATAGGTTGTTGCTGATGTGGTAGTTGCCCTCCCATCATCGGCTGTGGCTCCATCGTTCCTCCTCCATGAACTGGTGTTTGCATCTCATCCTCTTCTAAAGGGAGCCTCTCGTATGCCGCATTGCTAAAAGACGCCGCCATAATCACAACAGGACCAGCACAAAGCAAAGGACCCACCACGCTCCCTCCAACAACCTGTCCTTGTCCTCCGGATAGGTAAACGCTCAATCCGGTGGCTGTAGGTGGAGCAGGAGGAGGTAAAAAAGAGCCTGAGAGAGAAAGAATCTCAAACCTTCCGTGAAGGTTAACGACCGAGCCAGGAGAAGGAGACCCAGGCTGACGTATGGTGACGTTCATGACGTTTCCTGTACCGCTCAAAACGCAAACGCCGCGTTGGCGTCGTCGTGCGAAAGTCTCCACGCTCTCGACAAGATCGCAGCCGTCACCGATCTCCATCACGTGGGTTCGTAGCGCGTTTGCGCTGTCCCGCGTGATGATAATCGGTGGTTTTGGTTTGTTCTTGGAACCAGCTGGTCTTCCTCTTGGTCTTCTTGTCATCTGATCTCCTCCTGAGCCACCGCTTCCTCCTTCTCCTAAGTTTGTATCTCTACCTTCGCTGCCACTGTTGTTGGCGATGTTGTCTATGTTGTCGCTTGTCTCTTCACGATCCATCTTGATTTGTCTGTTTAGTCCTCCTCCTTGTTGATCATGTTGGTCGGTTTGGTTTCTTTGTTGCTGGTGATGATGGAGGAAGAACTCTTGTTGCTGCTGTTGTTGGAGGTGTAACTGAAAATCTCTTGAGTGGAAAGGAGGAGGGAGTGAGTTTTGTGTTCCATGAGGTTGCACTGGATCCATGATCTTATGATGATTCGATGGTGGAAACTCGATCAAAAGAAAGAAGAGACTGATGGATCTTTAAGTTGACCTTTTTCTTGCTTAATTTTGTTGTCGAAGCTAGAAGGAAGAGAGTGGTAATAATGAACAACGAAACCGAAGCTGGATCTTCTTCATCTTCATCTCTTCTTCCTTTTGATTTTTAGGGTTTCTCTCTCTTCTCTTTTTTTTTTTTTTGTAACTGATTCTCTCTCTTCTCTTTACCTACTTTTGTTGTAGCTGGCTTCTCTCTTCTTCTTTGTGAGTTGGATGAAATGAAATTTGGAAAGTGAAAAAGGGTTTTCTTATTTAAACTAATAATTGAGATGTGTGTGAGAGTCTAGCTTTAGTTCTTGATTGGTAAGCTTATAGGGTTAAATAAGGATGTGAGATGAGTTTTGACTGTGACTTCCTTCTATGAAGGGGCAGTGTTTTTGGTCCCCCCTCCCCATTCACCTCCTAACCAATCAAAAAACTGATAGAACCAACGTGATGCATTGTTTGGATTGTAAACCTTGTGATCTCTCTAAATATTATGAATCATTTCAGTAGAGATTGTTGTTTCAGCCAGTGAATTCAAGTTTCGTGGGCCATTATGATTAACATAACGCATCACATGTGAATGCAAGAAAAGTCCAATGTTACAATCTTGTTAATTATTAGACAGAAGCACAGTACGTATCATTTAAAAAACTTTTACGGATTTACATGTTAATAATATTGTAACTGTCATTTTAATACAAATAATTACAAATTATTAATTGAATACACCATCTAAATTATTGCATGTATAAGCTATAGAATTATTATGGTTAACTGATTAATTAGTATGTATATATGTGCCGACAAACAGATTTATAACTAACTCATTCAATGATAATTAAGTACAAGAACTATCAATCAACTATATGTTGGAAATAAATCTGTTAGCATATGATTAATTTGTATTGTTAATGTGTTGATAAATTGTCCTTATTTTGATGAAATTTATTTTATTCCGTAAGTGTCCTGAAAGAAAATAGCCGCATCGATCAAAATGTTATTTTAGTACTTGCCGACCATCAGGGTTATAAGATCTAGTGTTGTGCGTTGAATAAAAACTGGTCTATATATATATATAAATGTCCGTAGCCTTTACTTATAGTCAAACTATCCATTTGTCAATATCATCTAGATCCAAAAATGTTTGTTAAAAGTGATATGTGAATACTTTTTTGGTAAATGATCTTTTCTGAACACTCACACATGTATAGATAGAGTTTTAGCATTGGAGAGAGTGAGATAACAAGAAGCTGCGAAGATATTGCTGACAATTCCAAAACCACGAGAGAGAGAGATAGAGAGTAAAGGAAACGAAGAAGAAGATAAAAGGAGGAGAGGTATCGCATGAACTGTTGTGAGAAAGATAAACACAAATTCCAATGTCTTAAAGAGATGCTCTTTGTCGGTCCTCTCATGCTCCACGTGCCCTTCTCCTCTCACTCCTTTGTTTACATCGATTTATTTTCGATCTAGCTACCAGTAAATAACAAGCAAGATTCTGAAAACCAAAACAGTGTGTAATGCCGGGCGGTTTGAGGTTAAAAATACTTTTCTAACATCATAGTTTGTCGAATATCAATCAAAATACAACATCTTAAATTTAGGTCGATATTATATTAGATAAGGAATATCTATTTCTAACATGTATAAAAGTAAGATTTACTCATTGGTGTATGGCCAGACAGTGTGGATATCTAACTCCTACGTAGAGCAACCGAGCTTGCTTGTCGCAGTCTCCAGGAGATTAGTCAGGCCTTTGGATTCGGATAACCTGGATTATAAAAAAAAAATTACTTGTATAAAAGTTTTAGAAAGATTCTAAAACTAATATTATACAGATTTAGTCAAATTGGTTAAAAATAAATATAATGTCATTAATGGAATAGTTGGACTTGTATATGGTTTAAATCCTAACAAATAATATCGAAACCTAGGTTCAGAAAATGTGTACATGGAAAGTGGATGTGAGCTCTAATGTTGAATGTGAGATTTACATGTTGCATTGGTCTGTGGAAGGAAATTCATTAAGGTAAATTTGCAATTAAAGATGATGTGTTGGTGGCCTTGTGCTTTGCGCCAAAAGCTTCTTAAGAATGCCATGGATTAAGTGAAGAATTTCGTTAGTAAGTAGAAAAATACAAATGAGTGGCAAATTTAGTTGAATGTTAAAAATCAAGAGTTTATGTGATTTTGGTTTGAAGAGAAGATGTTGGATATTCAATCCAAACCCCACAACATCAATTTAGACAAATATTGTTTCAAGTAATATTCAAGTCCAATTAATATAAGTTCTTTAAGAAAAAAAATCAGAAAATAAACTTATGCAAACTTTGTCAACTGAACTCAAGATATACAATAGGATATCATATTAATTGGACATACGAAAAAAATCCCAACATATTATATATGTAGTCATCATTTCTCAAACAAAAAATGTATTTGAACTAGGATACAGTTAACCTGCTTGTGTTCATAAAAATGAATGCTCTTATTATAATTCAATTCTTCTTAATTTAATCGAACCTCATAAATAGAAAATACTAAGCTTAGAGTGTGCTAGCAAAAGTAACACAGGGGTATCATGTTGGTATTAATAAGCATGTTCACCAAAATATAGTTTATTACTACAGTACTAAATTAAAACTGTTCCATACATTTACTCATCGTTGACTTTCAATTGGTTCATTTAAAACGGAGAACATGAACCTAAATATCTAGGGTTTTTTTTGAAAGATAACCTAGATATCTAGGTTACATTGTCGATTATGCTAAACAATGTGAACGTGTACCAAACCATAAAAGAAATATAAAGACGCTTATAAATTTTCTACTCTTATAATGAACCAAAGAAAGCAATTCCTAAACTGAATAAAAAATATTAACGAAAATAAATTAAACAGTTAAACTTATCAAATAATGTGCTTACTAGGTGTTTTGCCCGCAATTGCGGGCATAATTCTCTTATGAATATTTATTAGTTGATGTTTCATTAATTTAAAGATCAGCATAGTAAGTTATTATTTCTGTTTTCAAAAATTAAAAATCAAACATCTAATAATTATCAATGACAAAACTCAGACATCAGAAATATTTAAAAGAATATATTTCTATAACTATTTTTCCCGATTTATATTTAATTATAATATTTATATCTTAATTTTAAATTTTATATTAGAAAAATATGTTTTCAAGATGACAATATAATGCATAAGTTATTTATTTTCTGAAAATATCATATGATAATTTCTTAACTATATAATAATTATATAAGATTGTAGAAATTATGACATATAATTAAAATTACCTAAAATCATTGAGAACTTAATGAATCAGCATATTTACTTCTTAAATATTTTTTCTTGAGTGATGATTTATATTTAATTAATAATAGATAATTTTCTATTTTACTTTTAAATTATATAATATAAAAATATATTTTCAGGATAACAACATAATACATAAGAATTACCATATTCTCTAAAAGTATAATATTATTAGTGTAAATTTATTTCAGTTATAGAATAACTACAACTTTTTATATCTTAGTTTTAAATTTCTAATAGAAAATTATATTTTCAAGACATCAACTTAATACATAAGAAAGTATTGTATTTTCTAAGAATCTGATACTATTAATCTAAATTTGTTTAAATATATAATAACCTATATATAAAATTATATAAATTAATAAATTATCTAAATTACCTAAAATCATGGAAAATATGACAAATCAGCAAACATCAAATTCACTTATTAAATAATATTATAGATTTTTACATGTTAATTTTAAATTTTATAATAGAAAATTATTTTGTCAAGATAACATCATAATACATAAGAATTAACTTATTTTCTAAAATGTCATATTATTAGTAGAAATTAGTTTTAATTATATAATCAATAATAAAAAAATTCTAGAAATTCTGATAAATGATCAAACATAGGATCATGGAGACAAATCAACAAATTCACTTTTCAAGTAATTTTTTTGATGATTTATATTTAATTGATTTAGATTTACTTATTAATAATATAATTTTTATATCTTAATTTTAAGTTTTATAATAGAAAAATATATTTTCAACATAACAACATAATCCATAATTATTATTTTATTTTAGAAAAATATTAAATTATTAATATAAATTCGTTTTAATGATATTTAAATATTAAATTATTAATATAAATTTGTTTTAAATAAATATAATAGTGTTTATATCTTAATTTAAAATTTAATTTTTATATATATGATATATTCACAAGAATTATCTTATTTACTAAAAATATGATATATTCATATAAATTCGTTTTATTTATAAATAAAATATATATAAATATTAAAAATATAATAAATAAACAAAATTAGCTAAACTTAAGGAGAGCATGACAACTAAGCAAACTTACTTCTTAAATAATAGTATAGATTTTCGTTTCTATACTCTCAAAGAAGTTAACTATGAAGCATTCGCTTCCAATAATTGGATGGTTAATTATAAATGATTATCGATCCCCTTGCCATAATTAATAATATCATTGGGAAAGGATCAGGCCAGTTGGCTTATTTTATTTTAATTTCTAAAGGCATGAAACTTATCAAACCCAAAAAACTTATCAAACCAGTTCACGAGCTCTCAAAAAGAGAAAAGGACAGCTTGCTTTGTATTCCGAATTCTACGGACACTTAATTAGTTGATTGGTTCATTAAAATATATAGGTTTTTTCATTACTTTATTATCTAAGTAGTAACCGAGGCATGAACATCGCCAAACATTTTTGACGCATACTCTCAGTCTTTAAAGGCTTTGGTATTACTGTATGTTTTGCTATCAACAATGCCATTATTCTCGACTCCCGTTGATAGATAGCACTAATATGATACAATTAACTAATTATCTGCATAAAATAGGGTATTTGAACTTCATCATCCAGAACCAAACCAT